AGGAAAGGAAGAAAGCAATGACTATGTTATGTAAGAAAGAATGAAATATTTCATTTTGTTACAGATATACCATAATTCCAATTTTCAGAGAGACAATCCGGATCTTGTTAAAAACATCTGCATTAAAAGAAATAATAGACACATTGGTTTGCAAGAAACACACAAAACCAGTCTGATGAAAGAAAGTAAGGAAGAGGCCAAGACCGCAGCTTTCCAGCTGGATGCCGAGCATGAAGTTAACCAAGATCCCCAGAGGGAGTACCTCAATGAAGCAGGATCCAGGGAGGATATAGCATTATATTTTCGTGGCATTCCTCCGAGAAACATCTGCCCTCAGGAACCAAAAAATTCTAGTGGAGAAGGCACCTCAGCGAACAATGTTTTTGAGCTTCTGCCTGACTGTGAAACCAAAGGCAGTGAGGACGTGCCTAGCACATCACAACCAGTTCCTGATATGCAGTATATGATGGATTTGTATAACATCTGTTGCTCTTTTCTACTGGGTTCACTGCTATTCATAACCCCAGATGAGCCTCTGGATGGTGACAAAGATCCTGAGGACAAGCAATAGGAGGAGGAGGAGGAAAAGTGCTCCAAAGTTTACAAAAATGTAACCTTTGTGAACATTTCAAAGTCAATGCAGAGCTCTGAAGTTGTTGGGTGCTAAAGGCCCATAAAATCAATTTCTAATGAAGAAGCAATTTACATCTTAAGACAAGTCCCCAAACATCTTACCAGATAATAAAAAAACTAAATGATATTCTTGAGTCTGTGTTGTTTGGAACCTTCCTTTCTGCTCACAAGTTATCGGCATATACCCTCTCCCATTTTGCTTCCTCTTGATGTCATTTGTGAGAACAGCTGCATTGCCAGTAGAGGATTCCACAGGGCTGAGGGCAGGTAAGACCCTTGGGTCTTACCTGGGGTCAGGCCTGGTCCTCACCTGGGACAGGGAGAGTCATCTCACTAATGATTTGGGTATCTTGAAGCAGGAGATTGCTCCCTCATGAATGCTCCCCAATCAACACTGCCAGGAAGGTCTGGTTACCAGCTGATGAGTTCTACTCCCAAGATTCTTCAGGACTGCAAGCTGCCCATCCAACAAGACATGGACCATTGCCATCTCCTGGCTCACAGGACAGTACATTCCAGTCACTCCCACAGGGTAGGGGATCAGGAAGGCCAGGATTCTTTTTGTTTTGTCGGTCATGGGGCTTGAACTCTGGGCCTAAGCGTTGTCCCTCACCTCTACGGCTCAAGGCGAGCGCTCTACCACTTGAGCTACAGCGCCACTTCTGGTTTTCTAGTGGTTAATTGGAGATAAGAGTCTCACGGAGTTTCCTGTCTGGGCTGGCTTTGAACTGTGATCCTCAGATCTCAGCCTCCTGAGTAGCTAGGATTACAGGAGTGAGCCACCAGCACCGGGCTAGGCCAGGATTCTGATAGATTGCATTCACTAGAACATTTGCTATAAGACAAACAGTACTTGCTTCATAATCTCAGGGGGAAATTTCCTATTTAGTGGAAACAAGAGAAAGGATGTATGGCTGCTCTGTTTCCAAGTGTAATGTCTTCTTTAACCTGTATACCTCAGGCCGTTGCAGGCTGCTCACTCTCAGCTGATACCATACAGTGTCCAGTCCTAGGCCTCACACATGCCCCCGGGATGTTGTTCAACCATTCCATGAAGCTTGACTCAAAGACTGGGAAAAGAGTAAAGGAGGCGCAATAGTCATAGGCACATTTGTTTGTTCCCTACAGAACATAGCAAACCAATGTCTGGGACAACACTGAGACATTTCCCAGCAGCCTTTCCTTCTCCCAAAGAGACAACGTACTTGATATCTTAGCAAGAAGCCTCAAGAAGAAATGCACAAAGATGGTCACTTCTTGTGACCTCATCACCTAAGTGTGGGAACAGCACTTACTGGTTACTGCTTAACAAGGTTGTGGCGTTTAGAGCTAGCTGATTTTTATAGGACTTAGCTATGTTTGGGAATAGATACCGCATGACTTGGCTGATTGGGAGCAATGCTGTCCTGAAAGATCTAAGCCAATCATACTTCATGGCCCACATAGATCAGTTTTTAGGAATGGCTTCCTGGAATATAGCTTTTACCCAGTTCCTAGATAAGGGCTCCAGTAACCACCTGGGACTGGAAATAATAGACCAGAACTTGTACTTCAGGTTGGTCAGCACAGCTTGATGTTTCAGCTCCTTGGTCTTGCGAGGAGATAAATTTCTGGGTACTCTCTAGTTCCCCACACTAATGTCAATGAACCCTATGCAACAAAGTAAAAGCCCACAGAAGCAAGATGAATCTTCTGGACACTTGGAGGCATTCTAAACAGTGCTTATGGCTGTTTAGTAAGGCACATAGAGGCTCCAGACATGAAAAGGAGAAGGCCCAACATCCATGGAACAGTACAAGTAACCAAGTGACAATCAGGTCCCCTCTGTACACTTAAGGTGGCAGTTACAGCTGGTAAACCTACATACAGTGTAAGATGCCTCAGCACTCCAGGTGATAGCTGCTGCTACAAGGCTTCATCCATGCTGAGGTGAACAGACTGCCCAGGCTGCTCCATGTTAAGCACACATGTGAAGCCAGGCAGGCATCCTAACTCCATGCACCCACCCAGCTCTGATTGATGATTCCTCTTTGGAGTTTACTTAGTGAATATTTGCTCGTGCCTATGTGAAAGCTCCACTATGGAACATAGAGCCAGTGACTCCTGGCCCATTGGCCCTCCTGACCCCTTAGATAATGTTCTTGGGGAACCTCGGTGTGTGCACACTCAACAGCTCGCAGGACAACGGAAGCACACACTGTCTGCCACGAAACCTGGGGTACATTGGAGAATCATCTGTCCCATGCTCAGCACATCCTCATTTTCCCACTACTACACCTTGGCCAAACTATTCCCCTTTTCTGGAGCAAGGTTGGAATCTGGGCTCATCCCCAGCCTTTCCACCAGCAATTCCCACCAGAAATCAATGCGGTGTACAATTCTGTGGGCTCCTCAGCAGGAGTAGTTAACAGTCTCCAGGGGCTTGCCTCCACCAAATGTAACACCAGCAAAAGACTGCTGGAAGGAGAGGCAGCCAAACTTTATCTTCTTCTAGCTCCCTGGACCTAACACAGACACATGTCATACCTAAGCACTTAAGCCTCATAACGATGAGATTCATCTGCCAAGTACCCTGAAATCCCACTGATCCCACAGTGTTCTGCTTCTATGTGTTGCCATGAGGCACTGATATCCTGCTCCACAGTACACAAAACACAAGGGCCCAGCATGTCTTGGATCCATTCCTTGAGCCTTTGGGTTGCTTATGGCATACGGAGGGATATCTAGAGAAAAGCACAGACTGCATCGTGTGTGGTTACTGCTTAGAAGAGCCCACAGATGACATAAGGCCATCTTAGTTATGTTGGGTCTTTGTGGTGAATGAACTAGTTTAGCAGAATGACAGTCTGGGTCCAACTACTTTTCATACCTGTCCAATACCACCCTCACCAATACTCCTCATTTCCTGGTCCTGCCAAGCCAAGTGCTGTAGTCCCATATCTGCTTGGCTCCTACCTAAAATCTATTTGGCACACAGCCTTGGTATCTGAAGTCAGCTGATGAGTTGAATTATCAGTGACTCATCATTGTCACAAACCTATGACCCCAGTGACCACCACCCCAGACATACCTCCCTTCCTCTCTCCCCAATGTGTGTGCCCTAACTGAGTTAGTTCTCTGTCCTCCCTTTCTCCCAACCACTGCTTATCTCATCCCAGAATTAAATGCAAGGGCCTGGAAGTGAGTAATGGCAAGCCAAGGCAAGGCAATGAACTGGCTGGAAAATGAAGAGAATAGCTGTTCAGAAGATGATACAGGATTCCAGAGGGAAGCAGGTCTTTAACCTCTTCTAATTAGAAAACCACTTCATCTTACAACATAGTTGACAGTGTGTGATTCAGGGTAGAAAAACTGCAAACATCAAGGCTTAGTCCCTGACTGTCTCCTCGGGGTCCCTTGGGCTTCACTTGTATTGGGAGGGCAATAAGAGAGTCTGGTTGTGACATAACTCATTTTAATTCCATTCAGGTCCCAGGGAACTCAGGGCTGTGACTGCTGCCACAAGGATAAGGGTGTCCTCCATGTGGTTGTATCCATCCCCGCTTTCATACATCTTGAGAAATGAGTTCTAGTGGTGCCTTGCACATCTACATACAGACACTGTTGAGTGCACCGTTGCTGAGGACCGTTAAATGTTCTCATTAGTCTCCTCCTCAGGGCACCATTTCCCATGCCCCTAGACTCCAGGACTCTAAATACAATTCTCTGGGTAAGTGTGGTCACTGCATCAGTCTGAGTGGAGTAAAGGACTCTTCTTTCTTATGCAAGAAATTCCCATCGTGCTCTCTAGTCCAGACACACAATGATGGCCCTAGGGATACATTAATGAAAGGAAAGGGCAGACCGTGCCTTGATATGGTGTGTATCCAAGATTTCTGGAACTTTATTTCTTAACTCCATTTATGGTCAGTTTTCAGATGAACACAACCTTCAAGAGTACATGTATTAGGTTCCTTAATTTTAACTGGAAGTGAGCCAATCATTATTTTGTTAATATTCCAGACATTTATTTAATGTTTACTTGTATGAGTTTTATGTGGAAAGATTGGTGGCATTGCTTTGGATGGCCCTATTAACTCTCCTGAGCTACAAAGGGGTGTCAAACTTGGAGCGTCAGAAATAGAATCAGAGACTTGATTTTATGAAGCTTTCCGCTAAATACTTTAGTTGTTGGTGAAATTAGACAAGTCCTTTAAGAATGTTCCATGAAATGAAGTTAGTTTGAATGCAGTTGCTAAGCAGCCGGGCCAACTCTGCACTCCGTCCGCAGCTCCGCCCCCTGTGGTGGACCTTAGTGCCATGTCCCGCCCCCAAGGAGGCGGGACGAGGGAGAGGCGCACAGGCGCACTTGCGCTCTGCCGGGCGCCTCGGGCCTGTGGGCCCTGGGCCGCCCGGTAGCAGGATTCTTGGGTCCGAACGCTGCGGTGGTGGCTGCGGTGGTTGCCGAGCCCTCCCGCTCCAGCTGGTCTGACCAGTGAGACCGCCGCACGGAAGCAGAAATGCCCCTGACGCCGCCAGCCTGGCTCCTACTGTGGCTTAGTCTGCTCCTGAGCTCCGTCTGCCCTGCCCTAAAAACGGCTGCGCAGGCCAGCGCCAGCACAGGTGCTGCTTGCGACCTCGCGGATTACCTTGCCTTTTCTTCCTGCCAGGCTCCTGCACCCTTCCCGCGTTCCCTGCCTGCATCCACCCTGGCCTCGCTCTCCTCCTCCCTCCCACGGCTCCTTTCCTCTCCTTTCTGCATCCTGCCAAGCACTCGTTTCACATGCTTACCTTCTACACATCCCTCTGTCTGGATCTCTTCCTGTCTCCATCCATCCTCCATTAATTATCTTTCCCCTCAATCGCTCTCCTTTTGATCGCTTCGTATTTTCCTCTTGTCACTCCATCCCATCAATGCATCTTGCCCCTCCTTCCTTCATTCCTTTTACTCCGTCTCTTTTCCTTTCTCCCGTCTTCCCTCCTCTCTTCCTTTTGTCCATCCAACTTTCCTTTACTTTCTTCCCCTCTTCTGTTTTCTCATGCAACTCCGACCGCCCTTCCTTCCCTTTATCAATCCTCTTACTACGTTCTGTTCTTTTCTTTCCCTGGAGGCAGTGGCTAAAGCCTCACACTGCTCCTCCCCTCCATTCCCCCCTCTGGTATCTCAGTATTGGAAATGAGAGATGGGAGGGATTCTCAGGTAACTTCACTAAGTTCCTTCCCTTTGGTACAGGTGCTCTGAATGTCCTTCTCATCATTGTGGACGACCTGCGCCCCTCCCTAGGCTGTTACGGGGATAAAATAGTGCGATCTCCAAATATCGACCAGCTAGCAGCTCACAGCCTTCTCTTTCAGAATGCCTTTGCACAGGTATGTTCCAGGACCTGGGTGTGTGTCTTCTCATGCACCTGGAGTCGGTGGCCCTTTGGTTACCTAGTGGTGGTGCTGACTGTTCCAGGAACCTCCTTGGAAGAGGACAGCATACACTGAAAAGCAAGGGTCCAGGAAATTTAGTAGTCTGCTCCCAAGGAAGCCCTCAAGACTGGTCCTTTTACATGGGTGGAGGGAGGCCCTTTTATATGCATGATAGCCCTGGCCAACTTCCTCTCAGAAGGCAGAATTTTTGCTGTTGTAGAATGCTACCAACAGTTCTTTGTACCTATTGAGCTGGGGGGTGAATGCCAGCCCCCTGGCCAGGGTTGTCCTTCCTCAGGCCCTTCTTAGGGTGACTCCCAAGAATATCATTCTCTCTGGGCACCTGGAGATGCCATCACATATGAACACACACACGCACATACACACACACACACACACACACACACACATTTGCTGGTCTTTGGCTGATTTTGCTGCCTTCTTTTGCTGGGAAGATGCAAAATGTCTGGCACGTGGGTGAGGCGCATATCCCAGTGGTTGGCTTTGGAAACTGCATGACTCAGCTGCCAGGCTGTTGCTGAGGACCTGGGGAGGTTGCTTAGTTACCTGACAGATTGAAGATGGGTTTTGCTGTAATCACGTTGACCTCTGTTTCTGCTTCCTGACAGCAAGCAGTGTGCGCCCCAAGTCGTGTGTCCTTCCTCACTGGGCGGAGGCCTGACACCACTCGCCTGTATGACTTCAACTCCTACTGGAGATCGCATTCCGGAAACTTCTCCACCATCCCCCAGTACTTCAAAGAGAATGGCTATGTGACCATGTCGGTTGGAAAAGTCTTTCACCCTGGTACTGCTGCATGCCTGAAATCTGAATTCTTTGGTTTCCTGCCTCGAGGCAGAAATCCCCTGCTGGGTTCAGGCAACTTTTGCAGAGGCTTTTTGCTGCTGCATGCCTTCTTAGTCAATACTGCCTTTCTAGATAATCCACTTCCCAATTTGGCTTCATGTCTGCACCGAAAGTGAAAAAGGGAAGGAAGTTTGTCTTCTTTTTGGAAGCTGGAGGTGATGCTATGAGTGTCCCTTGTCTCCTTAGGTGATGGGAAGGTCACTGGCTAGTAAGGTATCGGTGTTGGGTGTGTGAGTTCACTCTGGGCCTCAACTGGTGCCCTGTCTGTAAAGGTGGAGTGGGATGAGCACACTGAAGGATCTTACATGTGGCCAGAGCTGCTGAGGACTTGTCCAGTAAACCGACTCTGTTTTTGTTGGGGTTACTCTTCACTCTCTGAATTACATCAGAAAGAGGAGTGTTACCTGGTACCCAGGGTCTATAGGTTGTTCAGTTCTGATCTTAAAAAGCTGCTTGATTAACTAGCTGTCTTCATTATAGGAACAACAGTTTTGAAACATAAACAAGAGCCCTTTTGTTTGAGGGGGTGAGATGGGTGCTGGTGGTTCATGCTGGTAATACTAGTTACCCAGGTGACTGAGATCTGAGAGTTTTTAATGTACACAGTTTTGAGGATTTTTATTGGTTAGTTGTGCATATTTAAAGAAACCTTGATAACTCTTTCCATAAGCTAGGACTAGACTATTGACTTTGTCCTTTGTAGTGAAGAGGCACACACACACACACACACACACACACACACACACACACACACACACACACACACACACGCCTGTACATTGTTTTTACCTGTATTCCATTTATTCTCTTTCTCTACCAAATTGTCTGTTAATTGTTGCATACTGGCAGGCTTCATAGCCTTCTTCCAGAGCCCATGAACATAGCATTCAGTTGAACTATGTCAATCGACCAGAAATTATGGGGCCAAAAGCCCATCAATTAAACTTCTTATAGCTTGGTGCTCCAGCCACTTATATCCTTTGCTTGAGGGCAGCTGGAGGGAAGTGAGTTTTAGAGAGAGGAGGAAGTAGAGCAGCAGGTGGAGCTTGTATTGGGGAAGGGAAGTCAACTGAGGCCTGTTACTGTTGCTTACCCTCATTCTTCCTGATGATTAGATTTGGAAACTAGATTCTAAGTGTGGTATCCTAGCTAGAAAACAAAATCTTGCTGCAGTCCTTGAGGAAATAGTTTTCAACTAGATCTGTTCTCAAGATCATTTTATCATGTTTGGGCCTGTTCATGGATGACAGTAGCATCATGGATTGTCAGATGTGTATCATTTACTGTGCTGGCTGTTCATTGAATCCTCTGAACAGCAAAAAAGGTCGATTTTTTTTATCATCCTCATTTCATGAGGTAGAATTTGAGCTCATACCACACAGGTAGCTTGCACAAGCCTGCTAGGTGCTAAGGCACAGCGTGTGACCCTTGGCCTTCTAAAATCATTCCCACCATGATTGATTGCTCTGTCTATAAGCCCTTCATTCAGTGATTCTTGTCTTTGAACCTCTTCTGGTGCTCCTGATTGGAGGCTGCAACAGACCACTGTGTTGTGTGTGGTCCTTCTCCTGCCTCTCATGCCCCTCCGATCCTCCTGGCTTTCCTATAGATCACTCACAAATCTCACTGACTTCTAAACATTCTCCTTTCAATCCTCACCTTAACTATGTGTACTCTGTCTTGGGTAATTCCCTAGTTAAAAGACACTTGTGTAATTTAAAAAGTTACTTGATTAGCATATGTTGTATGGGGCAGTGACTTTGCCACACATGTCACCCATGTTTCCCAATCAACCTCCTTTCTCTCACCACTCTTCCTCCTCAAAACACATTCAGCAGGCTGCTTGATTTTCATATATGTAGATAAGCCACATGGTCTGTACTTGAAAAAATTATTTTCTTGTAAAGTTACTGTACAGAGGGGTTACAGTTACATCAGTAAGGTGATGAGTACGTTACTTATTCAGCATTGCTACCCCCTCCTTTGTTTTCCTCCTTTGTTTTACTATCCCTTTCCTCCCCACCTCCTCAACTCATCCCTCCCCTAAAGTTGTAAAGTTCCTTTCCAACATACTGTCTTGTGGGTATCGTTGTTGCAATGGGTCATCCTGTGTCCTTCTTTCAGCGTTTTGTTATTCCCCTTCCCCTTCCCAAATTAGATAAATGTACATACAAGATGCAAGGCACCAAAATCAAATTCAGTGACAAAAGGAATATACCACAGGAGGAAAAACATACGAAGAAACAAAAAATCGCAGAGTACATCAAACAACAACAACAAAGAAAGAACTCTTGTGTGCATATCTTGGGGTTCATTTTGTTTAGTTAGCATCATCTTATATTGTCATATGTACATAGCTTTTGAGCTTTTCTGCTCATCTGAGAAGATTATCTTAGACATATACTAATTATTGCAAATAAGGGAAAGCATGGGACCTATATTTCTCTGGGTCACTTCACTTAATATGATTTTTCCAAGTCTTTCCATTTCCTAACAAATGGGGCAGTGTCATTCTTTCTGATGGAAGCACAGAATTCCACTATCTATATCTATATAAATAAATGTATATATAGTGTGTGTACACATACATACACACACACACACACACAATACACATTTTCTTGATCCATTCATCTACTAAGGGGCATCTGGGTTGGTTCCATATCCTAGCTTTGGTGAATAATGCTGTGATAAACATAGTTGTGCTGGTAGCTTTACTATGGTCTTGTTGGTGATCATTGGGGTAAATGCCCAGAAGTGGGATTGCTGGGCCATAGGGGACAGCCTCTTCAGTAAATGGTGCTGGCAGAATTGGCTAACACATGTAGAAAACTGAAGTTAGATCCTTATATATCACCCTGCACCAGAATCAACTCCAAATGGATCAAAGACCTCAAAGTAAATCAGACACCCTGAAAACATTACAGGAAGGAATAGGAGAAACCCTAGGGCTTCTTGGCACAGGCCGACATTTTTTTAATAAAGACCCAGAAACACAACAAATCAAAGAAAGTTTGGACAAATGGGATTGCGTGAAACTGCAGAGCTTCTGCACGGCAAAAGACATAGCTAGTAAGATCAATAGAAAGCCCATGGATTGGGAGAAGATCTTTACTAGCTATACAACAGACAAGGGCCTCATATCTATTATATACTTAGAACTAAAAAAATTAAATCCCCCAACAACAAAATCCCCAAAGAAACAACTGTCCCATTAATAAGTGGGCTAAAGAATTACAGACTTCTCTGAAGAGGAAATAAGAATGGCCAAGTGACACATGAAGAAATGCTCAATTTCTCTGGCCATAAAAGAGATGCATATCAAAACAACATTGAGATTCCACCTCACCCCAGTTAGAATGGCTATAATTAGAAATCTAATTAACAACAGATGCTGGAGGGGATTTTTGCCAAAAGGGAGCCCTATTGTACTTTTGGTGGGAGTGTAAACGTGTTCAACTACTCTGGAAAGCAGTATGGAGGTTCCTCAAAAGGTCTGTACTTTTTAAATGACCATTTTCCTTTTTTTTTACCTTTCCTTTTCCTTTTCCAGAGGGCTTGAATTTTGGGCCTGGGTGCTGTCCCTGAGGGTAGCACTCTACCACTTGAGCCATAGCTCCACCTCCAGCTGTTTGTGGTTAATTGGAGATAAAGAGTCTCAAGGACTTTTCTGCCTGGGCTGGTTTGGAATTGTGATCCTCAGATCTAGCCTTCTGACTAGTTAGGATTATAGGCGTGATCCATCAGTGCACCTGGCTTTAAATGACCATTTTAATTAGCATACTTCTATGTTTTTGACAGCTAGTAGTCTTTCCTTTTTTTAAAAAAAACATCCATGGCTTTATGTTTCCTTGTAGCTAGACTTTAAACTGCTAAGCTTTGGGCTGGGTTTCGGTTTCACAACTGAGAACTTGAATTTCGATTCTGAAGGCATGGGTTTAAATTTGAGATGACTCATCTAATATCTAACTGTGACTGGGCAAGGTGTGGGCTGAGCTTTCTCTGAGCCACCCTCTACTCCCCTGTCTTATAGTGATGCCGATGTTTCTATGTGTGTGTGTGTTGGGGGTGGGGAGGTGGCTGGCTGAGGATGTTCTGGTTTGGATCTAAGGAGCTTTAACAGACTGGCTGATCTTCCCTTGTGGATCACTTCTGAAGAATCTAGCACAAACAAGGACTTAGGAAGTGGGAAATCAACTGGAGATCTTGAGAGTTGGCTTTAGTAGGAATGTATCATCGGGCCTGAGCTCCTGATTTCATAATTGAGGAAAACTGAGGCCCAAAGAAAGGAGGCTCTACTTGTTTACAACGTTTTAATTTGGGGCAGTAGGCATTGAAAGACCCTTCATGTTTTGCTTAATGGCTTTCTTCCCTCTTTCAAGGTATATCTTCAAATTATAGTGATGACTCTCCATATAGCTGGTCTTTCCTTCCTTACCATCCCTCCTCAGAGAAGTATGAAAACACTAAGGTAAGACAATGAAAGGGCTGCAGGCCTGAGGAGGAAGCACTTTCGTGTCTAGCAAATTGAACTATTGTATGCACTGTACATGCTTTTAGGCTGATTATATAAGATTTATGAATTTCACTTGTGTTTTATGTCTTGTAGAGACTAATGTTGGGATCTTTAGCATTAGGTCTGATGGAAGCAGTGACACCTTCACTATAGAAGCTGATAAGTACTTTTTGTCCTAGAACCTTAGTGGACTCAGACTTAATGGCTTTTTTTTTGTCGGTCATGGGACTTGAACTCTGGACTTGGGCATGCAATCTCTGAGTTGTTAAGCTCAAGGCTAGTGATCTACCACTTTGAGCCACAGTGCCACTTCTGGTTTTCTGGCAGTTAATTGGAGATAAGAGTCTCAAGGACTTTCTTGCCCAGGTTGGCCTTGAACCATGATCCTCAGATCTCAGCCTCTTGAGTAGCTAGGATTACAGGCATGAGCCACTACCGCCCAGCTAATGGCTTCTCTTTTAATTAGTATACATTAATTGTACAAAGGGTTTCATTGACACATTGCCATAGATATGTATAATATACTTTGATCTGATTCATTCCCCTTTATTAAACTCTTTATACTTTATTCCCTTATCTCCTTTGTTCAAACATTATTTATTGGGTTTGATTATGCAATCCTTATGCTATATATATATATATATATATATATATATATATCCATACATACATACAGACACACACACACACATATATATATATACACACACACATATGTAATTTTTAGTTAGTTGTTGGGCTTGAATTCATGGCCTGGGTGCTATCCCTGAGCTCTTTTTCCCAAGGCTAGTGCTTTACCAGTTTGTGCCACAGCTCCACTTCCATTTTTTTTTTTTTGGTCAGTCATAGGGCTTGAACTCTGGGCTTGGGCACTATCCCTCAGCTCTTCAGCTTAAGGTGAGCGCTCTACCCCTTGAGCCACAATGCCACTGCCGGTTTTCTAGTAGTTTATTGGAGATAAGTGTCTCACGGAGTTTGCTGCCTGGGTTGGCTTTGAACTGTGATCCTCAGATCCAGCCTCCTCAGTAGCTAGGATTATAGGCATGATCCATCAGCGCCCGGCTGCACTTCCATTTTTTGAGTGGTTAATTGGAGATGAGTCTCTTGGACTTTTCTACATGGGCTGGCTTTGAACCATGATCCTCAGATCTCAGCCTCCTGAGTAGCTAGGATTACAGGCATGAGTCACTAGTGCCTGGCTTGTACTGTTTTTCTATCATATTTACTTCTCACTCTCCTTTTCCACTCCTCCTCTGTGTTTCCTGCTACTTCACCTCTCTAGAGAGTTCTCTTTTGCTTTCATATCCCATTAATAATAATAATAATTATTATTATTATTGGTTCCTTGGTGCTCGCTCTGGATGAGGCTCTGAACTGAGGACTATAGTTGCTGAGACATAGGAGAGACAAGGAGAACCTAAGCTACAGGATCCTCAGCCTGAGTCAGAGAAAGATATACAATCTTATCTTGGGATTAATGCATAGATTTAGCTATTGAAACTTCTGGTATGGATATCATAATTTCATAGCATTCATTTGTAGAATCTAGACTTTATTGTTCTAGAACTGCACCTTGACCCATGTCCTTGTACATTTGCTTAGCTTTTTGTTCTCTCCTTTAGCTTTTTTGCTCAAGGCTGGTGCTATGCCACTGGAGCCACAGCTTTACCTCTGGCTTCTTGGTGACTAATTGAAGATAAGATTGTCATGGACTTTCTTGCCCGCTGGTTTCAAATTGTGATTATCAGATCTCAGCCTCTTGAGTAGCTAAGATTACAGATGTGAGCCAGCAGCACCTGATGAATTTATACTTTAAAGACACAGACACACACACACACACACACACACACACTCACATACACACACACACAGAGCAATAGTGAGAGAACTTAATTATAACTAGTTGAGGAGTCATGAGGGGGGAGGGAAGAGAATGATGGAGGGTGAATAATATCAACACATTTGAAGATGGCATGAAGATGTATGAAGATGATCTTAAAAATCTCAATGAAAGCTATTGATCAATAGTGGGGTGAGTGGATGAGGGAAATACCAATAGAGAGGGTTATTCTGATGAAAATATATCATGTAAGAAATACCATGGTAAAACTCCTCAGTGCAATTAATATACACTAACAAATGAATGAGAAGAGAGTAAAACAGGCTGTTTGGGTAGTGGGGAGATGAGGACCAGTGGGAGGGTAAAGGGTGAATTGAGAATATAAATGATGGTGAATATGGGCAAAACACTTTATTAGAATTTTTGAAAATAATAACAATGAAACAAATTGAAATTGTTTTAAGAAATGAGAGGAGATATGGCAGATGAGATTAATAGAAGACATTAAACACATGTCTAGAAATGTTGCAATGAAATCCCTTTAGTATGACTAACGTGTACTAATACAAAAATGTTAAAAAAGAAGAACATATCCACACCAAAGGAAAAAAATAAAGCATTACAGGAAACCAAAGGATTTACAAAGAAACATAGTCTTGGCTTGGGGGAAATTCCCAATGTATTAATGAAACTAAAACCCACATTTAAGAAATTGAGGTGCATACTATAATGATATCCAATTTCAATTGTTAATTAAAACTTAAAATTTTCATTTATTTATGTATTTGTTGCTACTCAGAACCTGTAATCCTAGCTAACAGTAGGCTGAGATCTGAGAATGAGAGAAACATATTAAAATCCTTAGCTCATTTTAATTGACTTATCTTTGTTGAGGTATTTTGCTGTTTTTCAAAATTTAGTTTATGTGGTATCCTTTAATTAGTTACCACCTAGAGTCAGAGAATTCACCTCTGAAGCTAAATATTGTGGCTTTCTAGTCCCTTTGTGGGAAAGAAGAAACATTTTCTGGTTGAATTCTATTTCATCTGTGCCTGTTCAGTTTGAAAGATAACACTTAGGGGGATGGTGACAGGTTTATTAAATTTGTGTTTTGAGCAATCTATTTCTTACCCTTAAAATGTTGTTGTTACATATTTTGTTTTAAAGACATGTAGGGGGCAAGATGGAGAACTCCATGCCAACCTACTTTGCCCTGTGGATGTGAAGGATGTACCAGAGGGTACCTTGCCTGACATACAGAGTACTGAAGAAGCCATCCGATTATTGGAAAAGATGAAAACACTATCCAGTCCTTTCTTCCTGGCTATTGGGTATCATAAGCCACACATCCCCTTCAGATATCCTAAGGTGAAGAGCTAGCTGCAAGTGATCCAGTAGTCACTACAGCTGTGTTTTATTTGTTGAGAGAGGCATTTGTATACCGAAGGTGGCAATATCCCACCATCTGCAGTCATTAGGGATGTCTGCTGGGCACAAGTATACCTAGTGGCATAAAGATAGGGGTCATAGATCAAGTCCAAGAAGTAATTTCAGGACACACATGAATCTTAAAAGAAATGCTTAGCTATTCCTTTCCCTTTGCTGAAGGATTTTGTTACCTTCCATTGAATGCATTGTGCAATTATAGGTTGGATGGTGAGATCATCATAGAGAAGTGAGTCAGAGAGAGCAAAGCCTGTAACAATTAGAGATGGTACTTAGGGAAAAATTCTATGACACTGTCTTTCTTCCTGGATCCTGTTAGGTCAGACCTTGTAAACACAGGATGTTGCTTGTTGAGATCTCAAATCCTGTATTTGCTTGTCATTTAGAGCATGTAGTTCTTTTTATTATCCAGTTCAGGTTTTCCTTACATTATATTTCTCCTTTACATTTTCCTTGGGCAGTCCAGCCTTTGATTTTACAAAAATTGTTCCTTACTTAGAATGAAAATAGAAACCAGCAGTCATGCTATTTTGCTTTGATTGGCCCAGGGGATCTTCATTTTCCAGCAGAAGCTGTCAGCTCCCTTAGCAAAAGACAGTGAGACTATCTTCTTGTGCCTCTTTTCAGACAAAAAAAAATCCCCCAAACTGGTCTGACGGCAAGTCTTTGAAGAGCATTTTTATAAGGCCTAGCCCTTGGGTGGCACCTGAGAAGTTTCACTTTGTGAGTGTCCTCACCATTTCCCGAACTGACAGAGTGGCTTAAACTGTGTCCAAGCTGTTCAGTCAAATGTTACTAAATGCCAGAGTCTGTTTTCTATCTGAGAGTCTAAAGTTTTGACATGGTCTAGGTAAACAGAGAGTACCGAGCCCTGAGTCAAAAGTGAGTGCTGAGGTTTGAGTGAGCCAGGGAAGCTCATGTGTGCTGTCACACACCTCATTGCTGGGACAGTAAATTGCATCCTGTGTAATTTCTCTGGAAAGACTTTCTCTGGAAGCTTGCCAGTGCTTTTTTTTGCATTCTTCCCCCTTAGACAATTTTTTCTTACTTTCTGTGCTTAGTATCCTTTCACTATAATAAACTATTACTGTGAATGCGGCTGTATACTGAGGCCTGTGAGGTCTAGTGGATTACTGAAGCTGACGGGTTCTGGGGAATTCATGACACTTTATGACACCTTTACAGATTGGGAACATGTGAGGGGGGACAGTGTAGCATCTATCTATATGGGGAAAGACAGCTGTTGATGCTTGGTTTGTAGGAAATCGAACGGCAGGATTTCATTACCGTTGGCATCTGACAAGAGTAACCTAAGGCCTGACCTTAGATTAGGGCAGGGGTGAGCACCTGGGGAGCATTGAAGAGCTACCACATAGAACACCCATAGTCACAGCCTGGTGCCTTTGTCACATGAATGACAGCCTTGTGGCTTTGTGTTTTCTTTTTTCTCAAGGAATTTCAGAAGTTATATCCCTTGGAGAACATTACCCTGGCCCCTGATCCCCAAGTTCCTGGTGGCCTTCCTCCTGTGGCCTACAACCCTTGGATGGACATCCGCCAGCGAGAAGATGTGAAAGCATTGAATATCAGTGTGCCCTATGGCCCAATTCCTGTCGACTTTCAGGTACCAAGGACATATTTTGTGCATATATCAGGCACTAATAGTGTGATTTCATCAACAAGGCAACTTTTCTCTGTAGATTTTATTGTATCATCTTAAGATCTATCATATCTTATAAGAATCTTATTAATGCTGTATGGTAGGGCACACCTGTCATCAGAGCTGCTGTGGAGGTAGAGACAGGAGGATTGTGGTGTGAAGCCAGCCTGAGCAAAAAAATTAGCAAGCCCCCTTCTCAAAAACAAGTCAGGTATGGCACCACGTGCCTGAAATCTCAGCTCTTTCAGAGGTAAGGATCACTGTCTGAGACCAGCCCAGGTAAACATGTGAGACCCTACACGAAGAATAAACTGAACCCAAAGGGGCTAGGAGGGGCACATGGGCCAATGGTAGAGCATTTCCTAGAAAGGATAGACTTTGTCTCATCTCTCACTTCAGCCTCTCAGTTCTATCCTGGTCACCAACTCATCACAATCCCCCCTTCTTACTGTGTATGTATTCTGGGGATATCCAAAACATGGCTTCACTCCTTCCCTGAATTTCCAAAGCCCTGTGGCAGGCCACTTCCAGTTCTTGCCAGTCCCTCAGCATGCTCTTCCTACTTGCAGTGCCTTGATCCTGAGACAGTCCATCGATAAGGGCTGCCAGAGTGAATCCATGCTGCCAGGGGGTAGAGACCCCCACTGTCCCCGAGAGCACTTTGCTTGGGTCCTCCCACATGTCCTGAAATGTTTTCCTTTCTTTATATTAACTTTTCCTGCATCTTCCCCTTTCTCCCCTGCCCCTCAAGGGCAGTATAGAATGCTCAGCTCTGGTTGTTTTCATGGTCCCTGTGTTCATTTGTTCATCATCCTCTGCTTGGGCTTCTACCTCCATTGGCAGCACTCTGACTTTGTTGGCGAATAGAATCCAACCTTGACCTTCTCTAACTTCTGTGCTTCTTTCTTTCTTTCTTTTAATTTTGTTTTATTTGTGAACATACTGTACAGAGGGGTTACAATTGCATGGGCAGGATAATGCGTACATTTCTTACCAAGCATTGCATCCTCCTCCTTTGTTTACCCTTCCCATCCCTTCCCAGCCTCCCCCCTCCCCCCCAATCCCAATCCTTCTCCTTCCCCCCACTTCCCCCCCCCCCCCGCACCGACGTTGTAAAGCTCGTTTTGGACATGACAACTTGTACTTCTCACTGTTGCAACAGGTCCACCGGTATCCTTAAACAACTGGTTTTTCCCCATCTCCTCCACAAGTTATACTGACATCAAATATAGTGAAAGCAGGGGTTATACTGTGGGGGAGGGACATACAAAGCAACAAAGAGATAATCTTATAAATGCGTTAGAAACACATGCATGAAAGAAAAAAACATTAAAATACATATCTAAGGGTTCATTTTCCTGACATCACATTATCTGACCTTTTCCGCTTGACTCATACATATACTAGATATTGTATATAAGGGAAACCATGGGACCTATGTTTCTTTGGGCCTGGCTTACTTCACTTAATATAATTTTTTCCAAGTTTTTCCATTTCCTAACAAATGTGGCAATGTCATTCTTTCTGATGGAGGCATAGAATTCCATTGTGTATATATACCACATTTTCTTGATCCATTCATCTACTGAGGGGCATCTGGGTTGGTTCCATATCTTAGCTATGGTAAATAATGCTGCAATAAACATTGTTGTGCTGGTAGCTTTAGTGTGGTCTTGTTTGTGCTCATTTGGGTAAATGCCCAAAAGTGGGATTGCTGGGTCATAGGGGAGTTCTATGTGAAGTCTTTTCAAGAACCTCCATACTGCTTTCCAAAGTGGTTAAACAAGTTTACATTCCCACCAACAATGAAGTAAGGTTCCTTTCTGTCCACATCCCCTCCAGCATCTGTTGTTGTTAGAGTTCTTGATTTTTGCCGTTCTAACTGGACTGAGGTGATATCTCAATGTTGTTTTGATTTGCATTTCTTTTATGGCTAGGGATGTTGAACATTTCTTCATGTGTCTATTGGCCATCCTTCTTTCTTCTTCAGAGAAGTTTCTCTTTAAGTCTTTCACCCACTTATTTATTGGGCAGTTGTTTCTTTGGGGATTTGTTGTTGGGGGGTTTAATTTTTTGAGTTCCAAGTATATTTTAGATATGAGACCCTTGTCCGTTGTATGGCTAGTAAAGATCTTCTCCCAATCTGTGGGCTTTCTATTGATCTTGCTAGCTACATCATTTGCCCTGCAGAAGCTCTGCAACTTTATGCAATCCCATTTGTCCAACCTTTCTTTGATTTGTTGTGTTTCCGGGTCTCTATTCAGAAAATTTCGGCCTGAGCCAAGGAGACCTAGGGTTTCTCCTATTCCATCCTGTAATGTTTTCAGAGTGTCTGCTTTGACTTCAAGGTCTTTGATCCATTTGGAGTTGATTCTGGTGCAGAGTGATATATAAGGATCTAGCTTTAGTTTTATACATGTAGTTAACCAATTTTGCCAGCACCATTTACTGAAGAGGCTGTCTTTCTTCCATTCTATTGTTTTAGCTCCCTTATCGAAGATTAGATGGCTATAGGTCTGTAGGTTCATTTCTGGGTTTTCAATTCTATTCCATTGGTCCTCAGGTCTGTTCTTATGCCAATACTCTTAACCAGCCACATCCCTTTTGGAATTGTCCACCTTCTAGGCTTCCTTACAGCCCTTCTTAGTTCCCTCTGCTTCAGTCTACTTGGTAGACATCTCTGTCCCTCTCCCACTTAGGTGTGGTCCTCAGGATCAATTCTGGCCTCCCATGGTGTGCTTTCTCCCCTTTTCTCTAACTAGCCTCATCTGAGTGCTCTGGTAGATTGATTCTGAGAGCACTCCTCCAGGCTGGCCCTCATTTCTGATTTTCAAAATTGTTCTCAGGCATATGACCATGGTGGCCTCAGTTGCCATAGGTTCTTGTGTGGTTTGGCTCCCCACTCCTACCCTGCATTTTCTTCTTCCTCTTCCTCCTCTGCCTCTTTCTCTTCATGCAAGCCATTCGCCATCACATGCCATTGAATCATACTATCAGCTGATTTACAAACTTGAATCTTATCTCTGTTCTTTCTCCTGTTCCTTCTGTGTCCTCCCCAGGTTCCTCTCAAATGAACTCTGGCCTCAGAATCGTTCAGTATCTTGTTCTAGACCTCTGCAGTGGGTCTGCTTTGTTGTGATTGTCATTCTGCCAGTGTGCTGAGGCTTCACAGGCAGCAATGTGGTGTTCTGTTGTTGAACGCTGCTGTAGCCACAGGACACTGCTACTCTGCAGCCCTGTTCACCTCCTCACTTTCAAAGAACTCAGTGATTCCTTAGGCCTGAAGGTTGGGCTCCTCCAGAGGGGCCTGCCAAGGTCATATCATCTGCCCCTCACCTACTGTTTTGGTGTCCTCTGACACTCCCTATTCTCCTATGTTATTCTGCAGCCTCAAACATGCCTTGTTCTCAGTATACCCCTGTGTAGTACATCTTACTTCTATTTGTCCAACAGCAAACATTTCTTCCTTACCTTTGAGGACCTTGCCTTCTTATTTATTTGTTGCCTTACCTCCAGGGGTCAGCATTGGACTGAGGTGTAAGTCTCCAGAACATGAAAGGTCTCTGTGTTACAGACGGAAGACTTTATTTAGCAGACAGTATAAGTATGCTGGGTCCACATAATATTCTTAGATGTGAATCTGTTCTCTTCAGCACAAGCAGAGTATGGAGCAGGTCCCATGACTGTCCTGACCCTAGCAGAGACAAGAAGCTGACATGTCCAGCTGAAAAGGCAGGGGATAAACACACGGCAGAAACTGAGGCTGATAACTCAGTGTCGAGGATTTTAAGACATCCCGTTTATGGCACTGCCAGATCATGTGAAAAAGACCGAAGGGAGGAGGTAGTAAGTGATATCCATCTGCCATGAGAGCAAAGGCTGATTTGCTCACAAGTAGGATTTTGGGCTTGCAGATTGGGCTGTGACTTTGAAGGGAAATGAGTAAGAAAGTTATTAAGGGCATTGGTGGAATTGTTGGGAATGGGCAAGATGCTCAAAAAGAAAAAAAAGACATCATCTCTGTATATGCTATAGTAAGTAAAACTGTAGGTAGTCTTAAAGAGTTTTTCTTTTGAATTTGCAGCAGAAAATACGCCAGAGCTACTTTGCCTCTGTGTCCTATTTGGATACACAGGTTGGCCACCTTTTGGGTGCTTTGGATGATCTTGAGCTGGCCAACAGAACAATCATTGCATTTATGTCTGATCATGGTAAGAATTGGGAAATGTTCTGGTGAGTAACTCAAAGCATCTCAAAACTTTCCTATGAAACATGCTTTTGGAAATTGCCGTATTATACATTGGCATCTACTTGCTCCCTTGGGAGGCTTTTGTTTTGTTTTGATCTGAAACTGGGACTCAAACTAAGAACCTGACACTTTTGCTCATTAGCTAGTGCTCTAGCAACTGAGCTACCACTCCAACCCTTTTGAGATGCTTTTAACTAAGTCTTGGAACCTGTCTTGAATATTGGGTGTGCAGGCAGGTTTTGGGTAGGGGGAGGTGCAAATGTAGAAACTTTTAATTTCCTAGTGCATTCATTAGGAAAACATCAACCCTGTTTGTGTAATGGAAATCTGTGTGTGTGTGTGTGTGTGTCTGTGTGTGTGTGCCTGTGTGTGTCTATGCTCATAGTGGGTGTTGAACTCCATGCTTTACACCCTTGCTCAGCTATTTTGCTTGCAGCTAGTGCTCTACCACTTGAGTCATACCTCCAGCCCAGTTTTTTGCTGGTAAGTTAGAGGTAGGGTCATGTGAATTTTTCTGCCTGGCCTGGCTTAAAACTGTGATCCTGAAATCTCATCACACTGATTTAAGGGCTATAGATGTAAGCCACTGTTCAGCTATGTGTAATGGAAATCTTTTAACCCCTATGTTAACCTATAAGACTTCAGAACTTTTTGGTCTTTTTGAGAGGATTTAGTAGGATCCTGGCAGAGCCAGCAAGTCTCTGACTGGACCTCTTACATCCCTGCTCCCATTGTTTTGTCTAGTGAGAGACTGAGCTTCTCCACTCTATCTCTTCTCAGGCTATTTCCTAATATGGAATGTTTGCTAAATGTAGAACTATTATTTTAAAACATTCATTTTAATTGGAAATATTTCAAGCACACTCAAGGATGGAAAATAAAACATCTCTCTGCTAGCAGCATTCTTGTTCATATTATCCTTATCTACTCTTTCTGCCTGAATTGTTCTGAACCAAATCTGAGATGATTCTGTTTCCACACACTCTATAAAAACTATTGTTTTTTAGGGTGCACATCTGTGGCTAATACCTATAATCCTAGTGACTTGAGTATCTGAGGATTGGAGCATCACACCGTTCAAGGCCAGCCTGGGCAGAAAAGTTTATGATACTCCTCAACTTACAACTGGTCATGTGGTATACACCTGTCATTCTAAACTGCATGGGAGGCTGAGATTAGGATGATCATCATTCCAGGACAGGTCATGCAAAAATCTCTCTGAGACCTTATCTCAATGGAGGGAAATTCCATGTAGTGGCATATCCCAGCAGTAACGAAGTATAAAATAGATGCTTTGTGGTACAGACTTATGCCCAGGTAGGAAGTGAGACTTTATCTCAAAAATGAGCATCAAATACACACACACACACACACACACACACAGAAACACACTAAAACAAGGCTGCAGGTGTGGCTCACTAGAAACCTTGAATTCAAACCTTGAATTCACTATTGAAAGAAATAAGGAGGATAATTCTGGTCAAAATATAGTATATACATAGCTGAAATACCACGGTGAAAATTCTTGGTAGTCAGTACACACTAAAAACATGAATGATAGAAAGGTAAAAAGATTGGGAAGGTGTATATACCAGTGGAAGAGAGGATAGTGAATGGAAAGGGTGAATAAGGATGAATATAATCAAAGGATTTTTTTGTATATATGAAAATAGAATAATGAAACCTTTTCAAGTCATTTGAGGAAGGAGGAGGAAGGTCAGGGTCAGTAATAGAAGGGGTGAGTTTGGTATGCATATATAGAAATGTCACAATCCTCCTTAAACAGTTGATAGATACTAATAAAAAAAGAAAAAAGGAACATTATAGCTTCTTTAAGTATGGCTATATTATTACCATACTTAGAATAAGGAAAATGATTCTCATATCATTATAGGAAATGGCACAATATTAAATGATAACATTCTCATTACAAAAACAAATAAGGATACAGAACATACAATATAGCGTCAGGATAGCTTTCCCTTTTGTACCATTTGCCAAGGTTAACTAATGTTGACAGAGTGAGCCTCCATCTGCCAGCCATTAGTTGTATATATATGTACATGGAGATGTCATTTATGTATGTATAACAAGTAGCATATCACAAAACATGACTGATAGTGCTATGTTTATTTTTTCCTATAGTGTCTTTCATTTAATGGTGGCATGGATGATTCTCCTTGTCATTTTTCTTTTTCTTTTCTTTTTTTGTCAGTTATGGGTCTTGAACTCAGGGCCTGGGTACGGTCCCTGAACATCTTTGTGCTTAAGGCTAGTGCTCTACCACTTGAGCCACAGTGCCACTACTGGTTTTTGAGTAGTTAATTGGAGATAAGAGTCTCACGGGGATTTTTTTGTCCAGGCTGGCTTTGAACCATGATCTTCAGATCTCAGCCTCCTGAGAACTTAGGATTACAGGCGTGAACCACTGGCGCCTGGCTCTCCCTGTCCTTATCATTTTTCATAGGCCTAACATTTCCCTTATATAAAAGTCTGTCTGTTGTATTTTTTTAGACCTGGAGGTGTCATAATTTTCACACATTACTAGTGATCTGTTGTTTTAAATGTATGTAAAGAACTTTTTATAATCAGCATTACTGATTTGTATTAGAAGTTTTGTATTGTCCATGTGTGGTATGTCTTAAAAGTGAGCAAGATTGCTAGGCACCAGGGGCTCATGCCTGTAATCCTCAGGATGCTGAGATCTGTGTATCGTGGTTCGAAGCCAGTTGGGGCAAGAAAGTCCATGAGACTCTTATCTCCAGTTAACCACACACACACACACACACACACACACACACAGCTGGAATGCTAGCTTGGAGCACAGAAGCACAGAGACAGTGCTAGCTTGGAGCACAGAAGCACAGAGACAGTGCCCAGGCCCTGAGTTCAAGCCCCAGGACCAATACACACACAAAAAAGAGCAAGATAGACATTCTTATGTCACAGTTCTGTAGCTCATGTTTTAGTAGAACAACCTATCAAGAAATAGACACAGAGCAGGGCACTAGTAACATTGCTGCTTTCAGGGTCCTATCATTAAGAATGAGCATCTGGGGTGTGACTGAGTGGTAGAGCATGTTCTTCATGTGCACAAAATCCTGTATTCACTCATCCTGGCATGGTAAGCATGTTTGTTTAGGACCCATTGGTCCCCCAAAGCCTAGTGTGGGTATAAATGACAAATTGTTGATTTTGAAAAGATATTATTAATTGTGGAATTTAATATTTTTTCATTTTTAAAGGTTTCCTCATTTAGGGCAGGTATCTGACTTTGAATAAAGAGACCTTCAGGTGAAATTTCCTTTTTGTAGTAATTCTAGAGAAATTTCCGCAAGATAATGAGGTTTTACTCCCTCTGGTGTTTACCGAAGAAAATGAAATGAAGTCTAAAATAAACGAGCTGGATCCAGTTATTCATTTTCTGTCATTGTGTGCTTTTTATGACCCAGGGTGGTCTCTAGGTGAACACGGAGAATGGGCCAAATACAGCAATTTTGATGTCACTACTCGTGTACCTCTGATGTTCTATGTTCCGGGGAAGACGGCTCCACTTCCAGAAGCAGGCCAGAAGCTCTTCCCTTATCGTGACCCCTTTGATCTTGCCTCACAGTGGATGGCTCCAGGTATAAAACACACAAAAGGGATATTGCCATGCACTAACTATTCCTTTAGCTTCCATATAGATCAATGTAGGGAATCACATGCTTTGTGCTTGTACATTCTCTCTTCTGGATGTGTTGGAATTCCTTCAGCACATTGTTTAGTTGGCACATGTTCTTTCTTTGTTTTTGATTTTAGCACCTCCCATTCTCTGGGTTGGAAATGAGCAGCACAGCTAGAGCTTCAGAAGGTGGAAAGACAAAAGAGCAGATAACATTCCCAAGGTGGGAAGTGCTGCAGAGGAGCCAGCAAATATGCTCCACAGCTTAGAGGAGAGGATTACACAGGCAGGGGATGCGTCTCTCAAATAGGTGAATGGAATCCTTAACCTGCATACTTGGATGAAGATTTGGTCATTTATGAGAATAATATCTTCCATTTTGGCAGACTAAATGAACTTCTAGATTTGTAAAATCTGCAGAGTGATTCTACTCTGGGCTCCCAACTGGGAAGGACACTGATTTCCACATGCCAATCCTTCAAAGCAAGTATCTTCCCTACCCACAGAATGTGAACATATGTTCCTATAATTTGCATCCTGACTTGATCTCCCCAGTGACGAATGTCTTAATTCAGGTGGCATTTGCTCTTTTTGGAATATTTTTCTCCCCCCACAAACTGCTAAATCAGGGACCCTGCTTTGTGGGTTTACATTCAATCCATATTGAACATCTAAGTTTATACTTTATCTTTATCTCTGTTTAAATTTATTTTGGTTTTCGATAATCATTTTGACCTTTCTGCACCATTGACTTTTCTTTACAATGTCCAGTTTTATTTTCTGCATATTTAATTTTTGAGCACTGCATGCTGTTTTACTGTAGTGGTGGAGAACATGAACCATTTTTAGGCATGACTTTAGCTATTTGTTTGCTGAGACCAATCTGACAGTCACAAGTCATTTTTGAAACCTGTTGGGAGGAATTCAGTAAGTTGTAAATTCATGTAACTGTACAGTTATTCCACATTTTTCCCTCTTTTCTCTTTCTTTTTCTTTCTTTCTTTCTTTCTTTCTTTCTTTCTTTCTTTCTTTCTTTCTTTCTTTCTTTCTTTCTTTCTTTCTTTTCTTCATTCTTTTCTTCCCCCCTCTCTCTTTTTGGTCAGTCGTTGGGCTTGAACTCTGGGTCTGGATGCTGCCCTCGGCTCTTCAGCTCAAAGCTAGTGCTCTACCACTTGGGCCACAGCACCACTTCTGGCTTTTTCTGTTTATGTGGTGTTGAGGAATCGAACTCAGGGTCTCATGACTGCAAGGCAAGCACTCTACCACTGAGCCACCTTCCCAGCCCCTGAAGCATGTTTTTAAAAATACTTTTTACTTCACTGACAACAAATCAAGTGTTTAGAAGTTGAAATTGGACATGTAAAACAGCTTCTAACTCTTCAGAAAGGCCATTTTAATAGTGTAAAGCCAAGATTAATTTGAACAGAAGTCAGTATAAATACAGAACTTAGATTTTAAACATAGATCAATCATAATAAGATGCCCCCATCAGGATAGCCGTTAATAAACAGTAACTGTTGGTGATGGTCACATGACCAAGCAACTCCACTCCTAGATATACAAACTATAGAACCAAAAGCAGGTATTTAGACAAAAACTTGAATGTGAATGTTGGTAGCAGCTCTGTTTACAAATGTTCATCGACACATGGATATACACGTTGTGGTATATACATGCAGTGGAGTATTATTCAGTCTTAAAAAGAAGGACATTTCAACAATGTGGAAGATCCTTGAGTATGTGATACAGAATGAAATAAGCCAGACACAAACGGACAAATACTGTATGATCCACATGTAGTATCTAGAATAGTCAGATTCACAAAGATAGAAAATAGAATGGGAGTTACCAGTTGTTGGGGATAGGGAAATGAGCAACTGTTGTTTAATGGGCATAGTTTCAGATGTGAAAAATGAACAGGCTAATCAGGAGGCTGAGATCTAAGGACTACAGCTGGAAGCCAGCCTGGGAAGAAAAGTCCACGAGACTCTTAACTCCAATTAACTATCCCCAAAGTGGAAGTGGTGCTGTGGCACAAGGTGGTACAGTATTAGCCTTGAGTAAAAAAGCAAAGGGACAGTGCTTAAACTCTGAGATCAAGCTGTGTGTTCAAGTCCCAGGACTGATGCGCGCGCGCACACACACACACACACACACACACACACACACACACACACACACACACACACACACACAGAGAGAGAGAGAGAGAGAGATGGGTCAAATGTACACATCAAGTAACAAGTGTCTGTGGGGTGACCCTGAGACACAGATTGTCATATTCTTCAGCAGAGTTTTGCACTGCATTTTGAATTTAATTGATGAAGCTTGCCTTGTTTAATTGTTATACTGGTAGTTTGAAATTCTGAGTAGTTTTAAAAAGTGCTGAAGGTCTGGGAAGGTGGCTCAGTGGTAGAGCGCTTGCCTTGCATGCATGAGGCCCTGGGTTCGATTCTTCAGCACCACATAAGCAAAAAAGAAAAATCCAGAAGTGGCGCTGTGGCTCAAGTGGTAGAGTGCTAGCCTTAAGCTGAAGAGCTGAGGGACAGCGCCCAGGCCCAGAGTTCAGGCCCCACGACGGGACCCCCCCGCCAAAAACAAGTACTGAAGACATGTTAATTTTGCATCCTGCAATTTGGTTGAATGAATAGCTAGTAGAGCCCGAAGTGCTCAGGTAGAGGTGTTTCTAAACTTTGGCTAAAAATAATAGTCTTGAACAAAAAGAATGAAAACAAAAACAGATGAAGCTGAGAGTAGGCTCGGTGACTCATCAGTCTTGATTTGGCAGGCTGCTATAGTGTGCCACGTCTAGCTATGTTACTTCCTGTTTCAGGCAGGCAAAGCTGGGACCTCGTGGAACTCATGTCTCTCTTCCCCACACTCGCTGGACTCGCAGGACTACAAGTTCCTCCTCGATGCCCCATTCCTTCATTTCATATTGAGCTGTGCAGAGAAGGCCAGAGCCTTCTGAATCACTTTCGATTCCATGACTGGGAAGAGGATCCACACCTCCATGGTAATCCCCATGAGTCAGTTGCCTACAGCCAGTATCCCCGACCTGCAGATTCCCCTCAATGGAATTCTGACAAGCCGAGTTTAAAAGATATAAAGATCATGGGCTACTCCATACGCACCATAGACTATAGGTATACTGTGTGGGTTGGCTTCAATCCTGATGAATTTCTGGCTAATTTTACTGATATCCATGCAGGAGAATTGTATTTTGTGGATTCTGACCCATTACAGGATCACAATGTGTACAATGACTCCCAACATAGAGAATTTCTCCAGTCATTGATACCTTGAGTTTTATCAGCCACAGAGGGCAAACATAATATGTTCCCCTTGAGAGGAGAAATGATTATTTTATCAATACCCATAATATTGGACACAACCTAGGGGGGGAGGTAATTCAAACACACATCAACAATTTGCCTTATGTCAACAAGCCTTTTCATTTTGCCATTATTCGTTTGAAATTGGCAGTTGGATTAGGACTTGGCTGAATCACTTTGTTTCCTTTTAAAAGTATTTATAGTTTAGTCATTGGTTGACAAACAAAAATTGTCTTAAAATATCAAGACCATGATAATAGAACATAATACTATAACTCAAGAAATTGTCCAATTTAGTACATTTCAGAAAGTAACAATATATCAAAGTAGGATTGACTTTAAAGTTCTGGTTATTTTGTTTATAATTTACTAATATATCTAGGGTAGGCCAATATATTCAAAATATTTCAATACCGAATTCACATTTCTTCCCCAAATATGAAGGTAAATGGTAATTTTAAGAGCCACAGATTTCAAAATGTGAAGTTGAGATACACATGAAATGATCAGTGTGTTACTTCATCAAATAATAAATGATGCATAGTGCAATAGAGACATGCAGGTATTTGGAAAGTTCAAGTAAAAATTTTCAGATACATTTGAATAATTTGCTACTAAAATGTCCCTTGAACTCACTGGCCATCTATTAAATCTGTTATTCACAATGGAACTTTTGAAAATGTAAGTATATCCATGGTTTCAGTTATGCAAATTCATATTAATGTTCTCATTTATGGATTGATAATTGTAGAATCCATTTATTCAGGAGACAGAAAATATTCTCGTTTTAATTGCTAATTAAAGCATCAATTTTACTAAATTTTAAAGTGTGAAAACTTTATTAGTACAATATTAGGTAATTTTCATTTGTGTATTTCTTGAGTATGACAATTTTCAGAAAGGCAGTAATAAGCTTAATTCAAATCATCTTTAAGTAATGGAATATTTACAAGTTGTATTTGATCATGATGAAGTGAATCAACTCTTTGTAGTCATTGGAAGAATTTATTCCTTTCTAAACAAATGTAATATGTCAGTCTTATAGTAAAATGAATATTTAGCATTTTTCTCCTTACAGTGTCTTGGTGTTTTAAGGTGCATGTTTGTGAAAAAAATATAACAAAGAGCAAAGTGCAATGTATTAAATTGTGACCCAGAAAAGACAAGATATACAGATATATAGATATATATCTTAAAATCAGTACCAAAACTTACAAAAATAACTATTTGGCCTACGCTAGGTGCATATAAAAATCACTATGGTCTTGTAAGCAGTTAAGTGAGTATCTTGGCAACAACCAATTTTTATTGGGGGAGTGAAGGGCCTCTTCATTGCTTGTCGCTGCAGAACTCGTTTCTTTCAAGAAGCTTGAGCTTTTGTAAATGGTTTCCTTCAGCTTTCACTTCGTTGTTCTTCATCTCTTTATTGCTTTCCTTATGTCCACTATAATTTTTACAATATAGTCTAGAAATTCCTTAGGACATATTTTCAGTGTATTTAGCTTTATCTCCCACTTTACAGTTACAATGGTAAGTTTTAAATTTCTTTCCTGGTTGGCTACAATGTGTGCACTTTTTTTCTCATTTTATTTCTAAAATGAGCAGTCAAACTCCAAATGCTGCTCTGATGGAGTCATGAAGTGAACTCTGCTGGCCACTTTGTAGTCACTAAGCCGATGTGACTATCTCAAATTAAATGAATTGAAAGAAAATAAAATTTAAGATGCCTGATCACACCATATTTCAAGTGCTTTGTAGCCGCAATCCTATCATGACAGGTAGTTTGGACAGATCTACCTTAGTTCTCTCTAGGTTTCTAGCTGGATCTGTTGAATGCTAACAAGTTTCTCCTACACTGATCCTGAATTTGCCAACAAAGCCTTGTGTGGATGTGTTTAGGTGTAGGGTAGGGAGTTTGCTGTAGTCGTTGGCCTCTTTCTCTTCACTCCCATCACCATTGCCTCAGTCCTTATCCCTTCCCTCCAAAGTAGTTTACCTTCCCTCCTTTTTCCTCCCCTGTTCCAAAAGGAATCCATGTGTCTTCCTAAAATCCCTCTTAACCCTGCCCTTTGAGAACACCGTCAGTGCCTACTATGGGTCTAGAAAGACCTCCGCTGAGCAGTCAGAGTCTTCCCTGGCTCCACAATGCCCCTGCCCTTGGCTGACTCTACCTTGCCTATTCCTACCTCCCACCCATCATAGGCTGTGCCCTCTTTTCTCTGCTCCAGCCCATTCATAACCATTCTTCACAGCCTGGTTTCTGTACATTGAAGGCAAAGAGGCTGAGAGCATTTTGTGGGACAAAATGAACACACATAAAGAATCTTGGGATTTAACTTACCTTAAAAAATGTACTCATGGGCTGGGAAGGTGGCTCAGTGGTAGAGCGCTTGCCTTGCATGCCTGAGGCCCTGGGTTCGATTCATCAGCACCACATAAGCAAAAAGAAAAAAGCCGGAAGTGGTGCTGTGGCTCAAGTGGTAGAGCGCTAGCCCTGAGCTGAAGAGCTGAGGGACAGCGCCCAGGCCCAGAGTTCAGGCCCCACGACCGGACCCCCTCACCCCAAAAATGTACTCTTTATCTGATAATAAAATTGCTGTGTTATTTTAAAAAATGGGAAAAGAGAAACATGGTGAAAGGTGAGAAAGTGTGTGAATATTTTCTCCTTAGATTGCCACTTAATATCTTGTCTTTTTAGGGGTATGATTTTTTTCCACATTTCTGTGATCTCCTATATTCTTTATCATAACATTTGCATTCTGACTTTTAAGCATTATATGTGGTTAGTATAGCTTTTTTGCAAAGCAACTTTGCATCACTCATATTCTATTTTATTGTGTAGTTTTATTGTAATTTACTTAACCTTCTTTCAATAGTTGGAAATTTTAGTATAATAGATACTGCTGTAATGATCAACTTGGTGAATAAAATGGTTTTTGTGTATTTCCAACTATTCTCTTAGGATAGTATCTCAGTGCCAAGTTGTCAAAAAAATAGCTGTATTTTCTCCTCTCATTGTCTTGCTATATTAGAGCACTAAAGTTAAAAAATGAAATTAACAAATAAAAACCCTAATGTCACAAAAGCACCTTACATTCTTCCAATAATAGGTAAGATTGGTGTCCTTCTTTAACTGTGGACTCTGTTTATTAATTACTTTGATGATTCTTGTATGATTGTTGCATATTTACATTTCCAGTTTTGTGAATTTGCCTGGTAAATTTTGCTATTGGAGCTCACATTTTCAAGTGATTGAATGGTCTTTCCCGGTGTGATTTTTTCCCCCTATCTTTTCCTAATAAACACGGAGACTCCCTCCTTCTGGAGACTGAAAATGCTTATTAGCCTTTGAATTTTTTGTGTTTTTGTTTTATATTAACTGTGACTTTCCATCCCATTCTAAGAGCAAAACTGAGATAATATGTGGTCAATTTCTACATTTTCCATATTTCACTCTATGGTGAAGATGGAAAGAAGCTAACTCTTCAGGATGTGGCTACTGGTGACATTTTATATTTACTTCTATGCCTTTTCCTACTCATATCCATACTAACAGATCTAGAGCATTTTGTTTTTCCCTAGCTGAAAGTTACCACATACAATCTTGGTCTTGCTCTGGTGATGTAGCATATTAGCCTTTGGTTTTGAGACAACCTCTTCATAGCCTGCTGGCTTGGAACTCCCAGTTCTTTCCCCTGCTTCTGCCCCTTGAGTGTTGGGTTTACAGGTTTGTGACACTGAATGGCTTAAATAATAAGAAAAAATGTTGTAGTTCTGGGAATCAAACCCAGGGCCTCAAGGATACTAGACAAGAACTCTACCACTGAGCCACACCCTTCCTCATAGAATGCTTTTTCATTGTTCGTAGTTAGTAGCTCCCATGATTATACCAGTCTTTCCACACTGATCTTTTTTTGACAAAAATTCTCAAATTATGAATGCATTTAAAAATTTGTAAATTATTAATTGGATTCCTAAAAGACAGATATACAGAACATGATTGTACCTATGGGACTGCTTGGGGACACGGGAATGAAGAGAATATTGGGCAGTGAATGATATAAAATTCATTGTGTGTGTGTGTGTGTGTGTGTGTGTGTGTGTGTATGCGTGAAGATGATATTGGAAACACAGTGAAAGTTGTTGGATAATAGAGTGGTTAGGGGACATGGAAAGGAACAGGAATAGAGAGCATTAAATTTTAGTAAAATATAATATATGTCTGGGTGAAATGCCATGGTGAAACAAACACCTTTGTGTAATTATAGATACTAAAGAAAATTAATGGCAGAAATGTATAACACATTCTCTTTTGGGGTGGATATTAATAAGAGGAGAGGGGGTGAATGGAGAGTACGAAGGAGGACAATTGTAATCAAAGAACTTTATATACATGCATGAAAATAGAACAATGAAACCTGTTGAAATTGTTTTAAGAAGAGGGATGAGATCAGGAGATATTGTATGCATACATGGAAATACCACAATGAAAATCTCTTCTTCCACCAATATATGTTTCTAAAAAGCTGGTAAAATACATGCAATACATAATTTACCATCCCAACCATTTTGTGGTTCAGTTGCATTAAGTATGTTTGCAGTATTATGCTATTATGCAGATACAGAACTCCTGGCCAAATTGAACCTGTCCTATTAAATAGCAACTCTTCATTTTCTCTTTGCCCCAGCTTATTGTGCATTTGGACTGACTGTAAGTGCTGCCATACAGTATTATCTTTTGTGACATGCTTTTATAATGTCCTCAAAGTCCCCCAGGTCATAGCAATTGACAGAATTTCTTTCCCTTTTAAGACTGAATACTATTACATTGTATGCATACATAACTTTTTTCATGTATTTGTTGACAGACACTTGGCCTTTCACAAATGATGCTGCCCCATTACAATAGCTGTACGTGTACCTCCACAAGTCCCTACTATTCTTTTGGGTATATTCCTGGTCTACATTAATCTTGATCACTTGGGTGTTGGGGTATGTGTTGAATGGTGAGCCAGGTAATTGATGAATCCTTACCCAGACTACAAACCTCTTGCTTTCTCCAAACCCACCTTCCAGGTTATGTAAATGTATGAAATCATGTAAATTTCAGGACAGCACTTTAGAGATGTCCCTGGAATTCTTGCCTGAGATCTGCAATAAATTAGAACCTAGATTCTTCCTTAGCCTCGGTCTCTTTTAGCATGAGATATGGCCTGTTGGGGCTCTAAACATAGTTCCCTCATTGTCGACTGCCTTTGGGGTCCCATTGGTTCTCCTAGGGAAGTTTCAGAACATGACGTGAGAAGGCTGCTGGGAATTTGTGTACTCAGGTCACCCATGGAGTTACCACGATAGGTGTACATCCTCATTGCCTTTGTCCATGTCCAACTGAGGTCCTCTTCCCTTTACTCACTGGATGGAGTAGATGGACTTTCCACTCACGTGTTCACTAAAATATAGGCCATATAGGATGTGGGGAATGTTCCCTCCAGAGTTTTCTTTGGGATCAGAGTTTCCTCGGGAGTCCTGCCACATCCTGCCTGAGATCACTCTTGCCCATAGAGGAATCAAAGGATGCCCTTTTTTTTTTTGATTCTGGATCCTAGGTTATGATCTTCATCCTCTGAGGGCAGCCTCTAAGCGAGAAATAACAAAGATGGCATAGGTGGGCTCCACATAGGATTTCAGGGAGACGATGTTCAGGTGCTGGGCATGTAGTGATGTAGCAGCACCCAGACAGGATGAGCCCTGGTGCTAAGTTCTAGTAGAGTATCCCATGCTAGGAAGTTAAGTGGTCAAAAAGAGGTATGAAGGCTAAGGGTTGCCTACTTTTGCTTTTCTATCCATAAAAGAGACCATGATTTATGCAAGCAACAGGGTTTGGAGCAGGCCTGAAGTTGGCATTGATAAAACATTTGCTCTAATTTATTGTCTTTTCATGTGTGTTTCTGAAAGAACCATTTGCAGGTGATTCATATTCTACACTCATTATTTACTTAACAGGCTTTATGAATTCATCTATTCCACACTATTGAGAAGCTTACCTTTGTGTTTGTGGGAAGTGCAGCCTGAGTTATTGTCTGAATAAATCACATTAAATTTACCATTAGCATTGTGTGTGCATTTCTTGCTGCTGTTTTGGGACTACTTGATGCTTCTTTAAAGTAAATAAAGCCATTTAACAAATCTTGATATCACTGTGCAGGTGTTTCCCCTTTCAAGTAGCCAACTTGTTTCTCCCTGAGGAGTCAGGGCAGCTTGTGTGGATATTGCTGAGGAGATGACCTTTATGTTTTTATTTTTGAGGGAAAGTGTATTGCTGGGTAGCCCAGGTGGACCTAGAAACTTTCTTCTCCTACCTCAGCCTCCTTAGCACTGGGATTATACACATGTGTCACCATGACCAGGTAGGACTTGATTTTCTTTCCTTTCTTTCTTGGTGCTGGTACTGGGGCTGGAGATCAGAGCCTGGGCACCATCTCTTAGCTTTTTTTGCTTAAAGCTGGTCTCTACCACTTGAACTGTACCTCCTCTTCCAGACTTTTGGTAGTGAACTTGAGATGTGAATCTCAAGGACTTTCTTGCTCAATATGGCTTTGAACTGTGCTCTTCAGATCTTCACTTCCTGAGTAGCTAGGATTGTCAGTATGAGCCATAAATTTTGTCTGCCTGCACCATAAATGTTCCTTGACTTGGGAAATTCCCTACTCTTATTATTATGGACAGGAGACAGAGCCTGCTTGTCACTGTAGAGACATAACATGCCAGAATTTCACTTTCCTTTGGCATCCCTGTGGCTGGAGAGTGGGCTTGTGACTTGTTACCTCACTCTTTCCGGAGCTTACACTCACAAGTAGTGGTGATTTGCTATAAGCCATGTTGTTGCGACGCAGTTTGGTGGTGTGATTTTGACAGTGGTTATGGTAATTGCCTGATTATCTTTTTCTTTATCCATTATTCATGGCTGACACTGTGACCTTCCCGGGGAGCCAATGAGTAGCCTTTCCAAGCAAAACAAAATGAGCAACCCCAAACAACAACAATCCTCACCTGCCTTTTCTGCTTAAATTTCTGAGAGCCGGTCAAGCCAGATGGACTGTTGACTAATGTAGTTTTTGCATTCCAAACCCCAGAAGTTAGTGCCAGATTGCCCTCCAAAGAAGGGGAGGGCCCGTTCACATTCCTGTCAACAGGGTGCGCAGCCTCCAGCTTTCTGTCCTTACCAGAGCACAGTTTACATTGCCTAATAGTGATCTATTTCTGAAAGTGGAAGCATTTCTTATTTCTTTAATCTTTTAACTCAGGGAGTGGCACATTTTAGGCACTTACATGTTTCCTCAAGAATGAGTGAAAGGAATTGTCTACAAAGGGTTTGGAAAAAGACTGCACGGCCAGAAGCACAGTG